TATTCATAACAAACCTAGGGATTTCTCAAAAATAGGAAAATCTATATTTCTATATATTTAATAGTAGTATTATATTTCGAACTCGCACACCATTATCAACACTAATAACCTTCATACTAATATTTTAATAACAAATATACTAGTTTAATCATTCAATATTATGAATAATTATGTGGAAATGGATGTATTTGAGTGTGAGAATAGATACATTGATGAGTGATGAATGTGTGTGCAATAGATGAACGACGCGACTGTGTGTCTGTGAGCGCGTTTTGAATGAATGTTCAAAGCATTGGAATATTCTAGACTCAATTGATTTTCTTTATATTGATTTCTATGTTAATAATGTTCGTTTTTTATGAATCTAGAATATTCCAAGTATACGTGAAGTTAATGCATGGTAACGAAAGAATGTTCTAGAAAGTGTACGAGTGAGACAAGAGCATCTTAGTATATAAATAGTATGTGCGTTGTTTGATTGGATGGATTATTTTGTTGTGAGTTGTCATGAAATAATTATACGGTTTCAAACAAAATTCTCTTTCTCCTACAATTATAGCATTCGATTAAGCGTTCGATCAATTTATTCATAAAAAAAGTACCGTTGTCGTACCCGAAGAAATGTCATTCAGGTGCACATGTTCGTTCGCGATGCTGAAAGTGTAAATAGTACCCTCGTGGCGCGCTCGATAGCAGGCGAAGATTAATTAATAGCATAGATGAAGCGGAACGCCGACAGGCGAATGCAACGAAATGGGAGACAAATTTTGCTGTTCCACTTTGAAATGAGCGTTCATTCAGATTTTACTGATTACGCGCTCGCAAAACTTTCGCGAAACAAATCGTCGGGGTGAGAGGCTTTTCAAAGTGAAATACGCTCGCAGGAGCGCGTCGCCGCCGCGCCGGCTGAGGGAAGATGGTAATATTTACATTCCTGCATTCGTTATAAATTTTCGCCCGTTTTTTCTTTCCTTTTCTATCCCGTTTTTTCAACGCCGGAACGCGTGCCGGCACGAAATACAGCAATGCGAGTAATTAAAAGAAATAAGTTTTCTATTAATGTATTATAATTATAATTCCTTTCGGTTTGTTAACGAATTCCCTTACTTTCTTTATTAAACCACTATCTAATTTTCTTGCACACAATCTTCTACCCCTTAACTTTCACACGTGACAGTATGCATTTCCATCGCGCAAGGGTCGCTGAATCGCGCAATGGAAATTTTATCCAGACAAATTTGCAGTAATAAACGATGATAATTATTTTAGGAGATCGGCACGGATGTCGTGGGCCGACGTAATATTTTCTGTTGCCGTTTGGTTAAGAGTATCAAGTGGCTTTGAGTAGTATCGCGTTGGGATAAGTATTTACAAAATGTTTGCTTTCACGATTTGGTTATTCATTTATGAACGGAAATAATCAAATCTTAATAATTACGAAACAAGTTAGTGTTACTTATTAATTAACTTAGAATGTATTACAACAGTATTTCAATAAATATTCAGTATTTTAAATAAATGTATTGTATTGAAGTTTACAGTCCCAGAATTTGTTTAAACTCTTGTAGGAACTATTCTTTTTAATACAAATATTGGACAACAAGTAAGTGGCAGTTAAAATGATTTTCTAATTATTTATATCAAGTTTAATATTGTAGATTGTTGGATGATCTGACTTCGCTTTTTGTTTAATATTTAATAACTTATCAAACGTATAAAACTTTGGCACAAAGATAGTGTTATTTAGTATACGTAAAACGTATAATTCTGCACTATGGAACATACTAAAAGCGGAATTTTATGTCACACTTAAAGTGTTTGACACGAACAGTTTGGCAGGTCAAATGTACAGTTTCTATCGACTATACATTACGTATATTCTGTACAGCTATACATTATCAGAACTCTTTGCTTTATAATATCATATCAAACGCGTACTGAAGATTCCAAACTAAGTTTCATAAACACGAATATTGCCCACGTTGTTTAAAGTGAAATTAAATAATATCTCACTAGTATTAATATTCACCACACACGTGATAAATATTCGCATGTCCTTCCTCGAAAAAAAATCCCAATGGAAACAGTTTCAATTGATTACATTTCCTTTCAAGAAAGTAGTAAAAGTAAAACAGTTCTAGTAAAATTAAAAAGAAAATAAATAAAAAATAAGATACGTAAGATCAAATTTTGTATTCAACAATTATTGATGTATTAAAAAGAACACGTGCAACTATGATTGCTTTTTAATGATTAAAACATGTTATAAAAATACCACGAAGACAATGATCAGACGTTGAAGCAACATGAGTGTTAAATAAATGTTGTCATTCAATCGAAGATTTTAACCGATAGCTAATCGGGCTTAGTCTTCTTTCCTTCAGTCGGTTTCTCTTCACTTCTGCGAGCCATGATTGCGAAGGAAAGAATCGGGAGGACGAAGCACCGTCTGCAGAATAGCTTCGTCACGGTGACGATAATTGTGCCAATACCCTTTCACCGAATCCCTAAAGATCGTACCAATTCGGAAGATTACCTCCGACATCTCGACTACAATCCCCTGCGGAATCAGTTTCTGCCTTGAAAAATGAGAACGCCGGTATGACAGTATTTGATTACGTGGGAACCGAGCACGATGTGTGTGCTTTGTTCGTCTTGTTTCATGCGATCAGCCACCGAACCGTACCCGATGAAATCTTTCGCCGAGGATGACGATTTAATATCCATCATGACTTACCGCTACGTGAATCGTAGACCTCAAGAGAATGTTTGTACGTTAATACCGTTCTTTCGTTTCGGACCAACATAGTGAGAAGGTTCCACTCACATGAATCGAATTAATTTCCTGTAAATCTATTCAGCTTGTTCAAACTATTGTTCTTATAGTTTAATGAGTAATTCATGTTCAGTTATCAGTTTATCACTGCTACAGCTGACTAGTATTTTCTCATCTATTTTTATTTTATATTATAAACTTTACTGTAATCCGACGTAATACTGTTTTCGGTTTTAAAAAGGTATTTGTTTATAATTTCTTTTATAATAATCGAAGCGCAAGTGAAGGTTAACGGAAACTTCAAAAACTAAATTGCAGTTTTGAAATATTCAGTTTAGACCTCATATGGTGCCACGGGTATTTTATAAAAATATTATTCTATTTATATATTTAGTAAAATCTACGAATATTTTATAGCTGTCTTCTGTAACTAATTGTTGTTTTTGTCGTTAATACGAAAACCAATTTGCTATTAATTTGAAGCGTAAAGCCAAGGAACTGTCGTACCCATTACAGGAAAACAGGTTGAAAGAATGTAAGTAAGGACAGAACCACTTTCTGATGTAACTTTAGTAAGGCACGCAAGATATTCAGAGCTCAATACGGTACACAAGGTAAATGGTAAATATATTGTACGCTATTTGAGACATACACTGCAGATTCCTACAGGTAGAATTGCATAAGGCTTCCGCATGTAAACCGTATCCTTTCAGAAACATGCCGTCATATCGGATGGCTTCATATGGAAACTTATACCGCACTCATACCAACACTTTCTACATAATTATCGTGCGCGCAAAATACGTATATCCATGGAATAATACATAATCATAGTAGTACATAATACTAAGTGGCTTAACTACGCGTACGCGATATATATTTCGTCCAACATCAAAATATTAGATCGAATAGATAGATATTCCAGGAAATTTGAATGAATAAAATTATACAATAATCAACTCGCAGATGATAAACCTATTTGTAATTAAACTAAAATAGTATTGTTCACAAATTTTTCATTTCAAACCTTAGAATTGATATCGTGAAACAATTGCTAATGTGAAAAGCAATTACCCCAAATCGATGACAAGGAAAAGGTAAAGAATGGTACTGTTGCGTGCTTATATGTTACAATTTACAAACCCCCCTAAAATGATGTGCCACAAGAAGTAGTGATTACATATGCACATTGAATAAATAGAAAATGAAACCAATAGCGTTTTTGTTATATTTATTAGCTGTATAGTATATATTTATTAACTATTGTACATCTCATCTGTTTGCTATGCTAAACTTTATTCAAGTGATAAATTGTTGTTAAAAACCATAATTTATAAAATTTACAATCTCCGATTGCACAAAGAAAGTTTCTTTTCTATCATAACAGGTCGCTACAGGAAATTGAATAGTTATGACATCTACCAGCAATATTGGTAAGCTTCAAACATAGCTCGCAGCTTAAGATAGCTTAACACTGACGAGAGACGGATGAGCCGAATAACGAGAAATAGGATAGACTGGATACACAGGCTTAAGATACATACAAATGTTGCAGCTTATGGAAATTTTTGTTTAGGGCTTCGGGGATCCTTAATCAATAATAATTATCGATAATACATGCTTTTAGCTTGTTAATAAGAATCGAATCAGCTATATACTTTCTTTCTGCTACGAGTGTTTTACACAACTTGACAACGACAAATGCATGCAGTGAGGATCTTTAAACGGTGGGAATAGCATTTAGATTAATTTCAATTGAATTTCATATATTACATACCCATTTAAATTGTAATATTTTTAGTTAAACGGTGGAGCATCGAAATATTTATATAAATGGTATTTATTCACATTACAAAGTATGCACTTTACAGTTAGCGATTAAAAATTTCATAGAAAATAATTTTAAAAATTTATATGGGATAACAGCTGTAGTTTTACCAGATATAAGAATTAATTGTTCGAAAAACTATAAAAACTTCGCCGATCACATTATGCAAACAAATTATATACATTTTCGGTATTTATATTGTATTGTACATCGAAATTGTGAATTTTGTTTAATATTCCGATAAACACCTATATGAAAATACGAGTATATAGAAATAAATGTAATATTGAGACAAAAAAATAAAAAAGAACATGTTTTTTATTTCTTTATTTGCATTTATTTGTACTCTGTTGGTAACATTATAAGTGACATGAAAATGATAAGAAGGCCGCGTAACTCTCCGGCTATGGGCAAAGAATTTTCATTTGTGTCGGTATTTCAGTAATGAGTTTAACATAACCTATTTTTTAAGAGAATACACGTGCGTCTCTCTGAACGAGAGACAAGTTGTTTTTGTAAACATTTTTCAAGATAACATAAAAAGAAAACAAAATGCAGCACGACGATGTAAGTGTATTTTAACTTATGTATGAAAAAGCACATATTTATTTTAACTTTGAATTGTTTCAGGTTGTGTGGAGTGTTATCAATAAGTCCTTCTGTTCCTTTAAAGTAAAGTACGTAAATTTAATGAAAAGTATCAATAGTTTTGTGTATTAACATTTTATTCTATATTTTATCTTTACAGTACCAAAACCCAAAGGTTTTGTCGGAATGAGTATAATCTTACAGGTTTATGTAGTAGAGCATCTTGTCCTCTAGCAAACAGTCAGTATGCTACAATTAGGGAAGAAAATGGTATCATTTATTTATATATGAGAACTGCAGAAAGGTAATAAATTTAATAGTATCATTCTTCCTATTTCATTAGCTGAATTATATTGATATTAGTAAATCTATTTGTATATTCATAATCTATTAATTAAATTTATTACTACGTAATATTTATCAAACATTTTTGTTCCATAGAATACATTTTCCAAAAAATGCATGGGAAAAAGTCAAACTCTCTAGGAACTTTGAAAAAGCTATATTCCAAATCAATGAAAACTTATTATATTGGCCAGGTTTTATAAAAGCAAAATGTAAGCAAAGGTTTGTAAAAATTACACAGTATCTCATTCGTATGAGAAAACTTAGATTAAGAAGACAAAAACAAATTGTACCAATTCAAAGAAAGATTGAAAGAAGAGAAAGGCGTAGAGAAGAAAAAGCTTTGATCGCTGCAAGATTAGAAACAGCAATAGAGAAACAACTTATGGAACGATTGAAGCAAGGCATGGTACAGATGTTGAGATTCATCATATATTTGCATAAATATTCATTTTCTATGTGATTATAAATACTAATTTTCATTTCAGTATAATGACATCTACAATTTCCCACAAAAAGTATTTGATAAAGCTGTTGAAGCTGTTGAAGTTGAAGGTGAAAGTGAAGCAGAAAGTGAAAGCGACGAAGAAAAAGAGAAACAAATAGAGAAAGAAGTAGAAATGGAATTAGAAGCAGATGAAAAAGAGAGAGAAACAAATGAACCACATTATGTGGAAGCAGAAAGTGATGAAGAAGACGATGATTTTGATGATATTGAAGAAGCATCTATGGTAATTTTCATGTCTTTACCAATTCTAACCCATGTATACCGTACTTCTGGCCACACACGATATATACTTTTCTATCTCTCTACTTTGATATGTTTGTTTCAATAGGATGAAGATAGTGATTCGGGACGGAAAGAAAAAATTGAATTATCTAGTGACTTTGAATCTGAAACAAGTGATATTGAGGTATTAAATTAAGATGTTATATTTATTTTGAATGGAGATATATGATATATGATTGTGTAAATTTATCCTATTATTACAGGATATAATACCTTCTACAAGTAAGAAGACGAAAAGGCCTAAAGTTACAAAGAAAGGTAAAATGCAAAAGAAAATCCGTCCAAAGGTGGAAGTTGAATATGAATTTGAAGACGAATTACCACAAAGAGAACGAACGTGATAATTTTTTGATTAGAAGAATTGTAATTGTATTTATAATAATGTATCATTTTCACGAAGCGAAAATTTATCTTATTATAATCAATGTGAATAAAACTTGTTTAAATAACATGAAATAACGTTCCTTGCTAAGACGGGCGGGATACCTCATTTGTGCTTACTAAACCGAGTAAAATTTAAAATTCGCGCCAGGTCCAATACTCGACAGGAATATAGGTATACGAATCATAGATGGCATTTCTTCAAATATAAATTGTGCGGACTAACAGACGACATGTTTGTACACAAGAAATAAGGTAAATTTTTTCAATTTTCCTCGTGAAGATTATAAATGAACATGGATGAATTCTTTATTATCAAAGTTATAGTTATGTAAACTGATTAAAATTGATTCTAAATTGTGATACTACACATAAACTTCATCATAAATACAGTGCGGGATGCTATTTATGCATACATTGTGTATGCTTGTTTATCTCTTACATACGAATTTGTATGGAAATGTATTACTGTGATCTGCTACGACACTCAAATAAAAATCCATTTATCATGAAATAAACAATTGCACTATTGAATACATATCTAATACATTGTTATGCACGTATCTCTATTGAAACAGAAAACATTTTTTTAATGTCGTACAGTGTATAAGGAGAGTAGGTACATAAGTACTTTAGTACTTGCTGTTTGTTTAAATACATAGATTAGTAAAGCTTTTGTGTTGAATTCTTTATCGTGCAAACGAAACCTGATTGTTTTATCATAAGCTGCTCATAAATGTATTCAGTTTCGTTATAAATTGCCTGTAGCCAAATGTCATGAACTCCACGTTACCCGTGACAGTGTCTTTTGTTTGCTATAAATAGAAAAAGTAGGTTATCCCTAAAATCAATTCCGAAAATAGGGCAGTTAACTGAATATGTTTATCGTTTTGGGTATGTGGAATTTTGAGGCAAGGATCTTTTTTATTCTAATTTCTGTCATCTGTTCTACATACTGTGTTTCAAAATATACATATGCAATTCACTTAATGCAAAACATATACTTTAATGTAATTATAATTCTGCTTCTTGCTATTTATTAAGTAATACAATAATTTGTTCATAACATGAAATATTGTTTTATTATAATGTCTACATTGCATTGAATGTTAAATCAATATTCAAAGAAATTATCTGAATGAATTCATTTCATTTAATACCATACATTCAGAATTAATGTTTTAACAGTGGGTGCAATGTTATATTACAATAATATAAAATTCAATATAATATTTATAATGTATGATACAGTAATTAAATGCCAAATTTCATAAAAATTTGAAATGAATAGGTGTCATCAATCTGTAGTACACAGTATTATTTAAAAATATAAATCTTTATTCTTAAAATAAATGACTTTTAAATATTAATCTGTGTGATTATTTTTTAAAGAAAAAGTTGTGACGTATAATTCATTTGTTTATTTCAGATGTATTATAAACTTCAAAACAGTTTTGGAAATTTTTAATAATATCGAAAATAAGACTTGATTATGATCTTGACATAGCCAGAATCCTTGAGCTTTCTTCTTATTTTGTGTACAATCATGGAGTTGAACAATGTGGGAAGCAACAAAAATTCAATATATATAGCAATATCACTTAGGAAATTATGTTTAGTAACAGTGTCTTTACCACTTGTTACTTTGTTAGTCTGTTTTATTACAGGATATATCTTTCAACAAGATGACATTCATGAAACACACTGTAGGGTATGATTATACATTTATTACCATATAAATAATTGATTATTAAGTATTATAAATCTTTGGTTTAAACATATTAACAATAAATATTTTTAATTTAGGTCTATAATGTACTTCCATCGATATCAGCCATTACTGGCATTTCTCCGCAAAGGTATTTGTGGCGTGTAACCATAGCATTACACATTGGTCCTCGCCTACTTATCGCTAGTGTTTATTACTCATATTATTATAATATACTCAAAGCAATTGAAGATGTAACTTTGAAGATTAAGGGAAGTCGACTTTTGAATTTATGTTATTGGTTGAACATAGCAGAAGTGGCAACCTTGTGTGGTGTTACATACATTTCCAATAGAGAAAATTATTGTAAGTAAAATCATAAAAGTAATTTATTCTTTTTTATCAGTTTATTATTTCATACAATATTGAATAAGTATTATTAAATAGTTACATATTTTATCAATTAATAATGAGGGTAAATAGTAGAGGTTCTGAAAAGTGGTAGTAAATACTCCTTAATTCATAAAAATTATATTAATAAAAGTACTAACGTTTGACTTTTTGGTTTTATTAAATATTAAATGTTTATGCATTTATTTAAGAGCTTTCATGTTGTAATAAAAATTATTAACATTGACAGATTTAAAAGCAATATCAAGATTAATTAACCAGTTCATAAATTATATTATAAATGTTTTAATTTCTACTTTCTGCTTTGTATATTAATATACATTTATGGTATTCTTAGTTATTAGTTGAAACAGACTTTCATATATAAAATATGATTATAAAATATAATTTGTTGAAATTTTTTTTACAGCGGTACATGAAAAAATCTTCATTGGCTTTATGATTAGTTCCTTAACATATATGTTAACAGCAGTAAGGCTAGGTCGCCTTGTAACACCAGATGCGCCAAGTCTTCAGTACAAACAAGCACTTTTTGTAACAAGTCTTATTAGTACTATTGGACTCATTGTGTTTTTCTTAAAACACAGATTGCTCTGCCATGACCTGGGTAAGAAAATTTATATTTTTTTGTAATGAAAATTATAAACTTCAATTTACAAATAGAGTATATAAAAATGGAGTGATATTAAATAAATAGAACATATAACACCTAAATTTAAATTATAAACATAAATGTTTAAAAGTAGTATATGATAAACTTACTATAATGTTTTTTCTAACAGCATTTAGTTGGTTTTCCTTATGTGAATATGTGATTGCCTCTGCGAACATGGGTTTTCATGTTACCGTAGTTCTAGATTTTCCCAAGGAACAGCTGGTTGTTGGGAACGGTTTACCAACCATAAAGGTGGATTAACTCCTTATAATATTTTATATTTATCATTATCCTATTATTGTCATCAAAGTGCCTACTGCCACTGTCTGGAAGTGCTATTGCCAAGAATTTAAAGTACATATGTTATATTATATGAAGCTGAGTATCCACTGGTAAATACTGGTGAACATTTTTTAACGAAACATCTTTATAATACAACAAAGAGTTTAAAATAGTTCTTACCAAACATTTTATACATACAGTGATTTTGATGATATTATTGACAGTAAAACATAAACTAAATTATAAATGTTATGCTTATCTTCGAGATAAGCAGAAAGTAAAATTATACTTAAATGTCACATCTGAACACTTTTATTTTTCAAAAGAAATATATATTACAAAGTATTTAGTCCTTTTGTATTAAAAAGAATAGGTTACAAAGATTTCAAAATTTTCTTTGAATATCCGTAATTTATTTTTATAATTTTTAATTATTGATTTCAAAAATTTTTAATTTATGTGAACATTTTTTTAACGCTTATCCGTCCCTTGTGTCAGTTTAATATGTTACGGTAAATATAAAAAAAGTAGGACGTCCTCGGCATCGTTTTATTATTTGTTAATGATGTAACAACGCAGACAATGCAAATTTTATGGCTGAATGCATAAAAATGAAATCTTTTTTATTTTCGATAAATAAATTTGCGAACTATTTTCTTTTAGTTAGATTAATTTTTTACTATTGTGTTAATTTTGATACCAAAGGACAAATTAAGTTGGGAAAGTGAGGGACGGATGAGGAAGCATGTTTCAGTAAACCGAGATATTAGAGTTTGACATACATTATCTATGCTTCCTAACTTTCATAACATATGCTACAGTAGTATCAGATTACAATCGTCTTTCGATATTACAGTTCACATATCTGAGAATCAAAACATCTGGTTATATTATTTCGATTTTTAATATTACTGGTATTACAATATTAATTCGAAATTCTAAGAAAAAATTAACACTCTTCCAATTTGTTTAATATGAATATATCTATAATTTCTGATGTCTCATTAATGATTATATAATGGTAGTCTTTACCTGTTGTATACTAAATTTCTGGGGTTTTAGTTAATATGAAAGCTTCATTAAATATATTTACTTCATTTTTATACAATAATATATTTTATAGCTTATGTTGAGTTTGTAATAATATATTTTCTATGGAGGAACTTCATCTTCCTCTTATCTACTATCGTTTTCTTTTTGTTTTTCACTAAGTTTGAATATTTTTTCTCGAACTATTAATAATGCATAACAAAATTTTATTGAATCTAATCTTAAATCTCGCTCATATTTGCTACAATTATTGTAATCCAAAGATATTGAAACTTGGATAATACATTTATATACATGTACACGCCACAAATATTTATTATATTTAACAATTTTACTGAAATCATAAAATATTGACAAGTGTTCAAAAATATTTTATATATTGAGTGGATACACAGGACAATGCACAAAATTTCTCCAATTAACTTATATTTATTTTAATGAAGGAAATATCAGCTTGAATATATTTTACAGTATTATATAAACAGTTTTTATTTTATTTAAAAAGTTTTGTTATTCTTAATTTGCAATTGAAACACAACACAAGTATCTTCCAATTATTTTCAATATACAAAGGCACAATTAAAATGATAAAGCAAAGAATCTAGCGCTTCCAAAGTATGGCATTGGTATCTTCCCAGGCAATGAAATCTTTAATGGCCTTTTAGGTAGTGGAAACTTGTAGTGATACTAGACAAGTATGTATCCTACATTCAAACAATATAAAATATTATAAAACCCCAAGAAGTGGGATTCTGTATTTAGTTTCTGCATATAGTTTATTTGAAAAAGTGAGAATGAATAATAATATAGAAAAAGAGATTACAGCATTAGCTGATTTATTACTAATTTTAAACTTACTTTTGTAGAGACTTTTTTGCAAAATGAGAATTCTAGTCAATAATTAATTCTAGTCATTGTTTTCTGATCTGTTTAAAAACATTGTTGTGAAACATCATGAATTCTGATGCATTGTTAGCATGTAGGATGCATTTACAGTAGCACGACTTTCATGTTTAATGAAGGTACGTGCGTAAAATAAGTGTATGCAATCTTAATTTAAGGCACCGTAGAAATATTGTCCAACACTGTACAGCTGTATATCATCAGTATATTTTATCGTGTATAAGTATATATGACCCATATGTTATGTAAAACATAATGCAACAGAAACAAATTATTTGATGATACTTATAAAATTAATCATTACAGTATTATGTTACAGATGTAAGAATTAATGCTTATGTTTGTATTTAATGTACAACCTTTAAGTGCAGTGTGATAATGGTCAAACAATTGGCGTTTATACAATGATGACGTTAATAGAGGGAAAACATAAATGGAAAGTAAAATCAATATTTATCTTGTACAATATATTCCTGACCAAAACTTGAATTACGTCCAAAATTACGGAACAACTTTCTGAAATTCGAATAATTGTTTATACTAAATTTTATATCTAAAAGCCATAATTCTCTTTCAAAGTATTTATGGTAATGTTTCATTTGGAGCATTAAATGAAACAACATTGTAGTAAAGCACATTGCTGTAGATGACTAAATCTGTTTTGTAAATTCATATAATTAGCATTCAGAAACACTAGATGAATGTCTCACACAGTGTTATAGCAGATATATTACTGAGTCGATACATTGTTTTCAGTGCAAATGCTGACAAATAGAACCTTAATAACGTTTACTTAAGGGTGTCATTATTGCACATTTTTACATGCAAATGTTATTTTTATGTTGTATTGAGATTTTTTTCATTTCATTTTCAAGTTTTAATATAAAACTATTTCAATAATAGTTAATGTGTTTATGAATAAATTTATAATAAAACATTGTATAAACACATTTCCTTGAAGTATATATTCTTTAATTATGAACAGTTAAATTTTTTAAATAATGAGACTACTTTCAAATATGAAGTTATTTAAGTTGCATCTTTTAATTTACATTATGATATTATTTTGAAGTTTCTTAATGAGTTCACATTTATTACTAATCGTAATGAAAAAACAATATTTTTCGATGTAATTATCAAACATTAAACCCGTGCCAAGTGATGTATTAATGATACATTCTATGCATCTGTTGTATTGGCAACTAAGTCCATGGTACTATATTGACTTCAGTCAATTTACGACCTTTATTAATTTTTTAATTTTTATCGTGCAATCATTGTTTGAATTTATTTATGACAAATAATTCATAGGCTGTTTTAGTTTTAAGTACCCCTTGAAAATCAAATGAATTTATACGTGTAATTTGCTTATGAGTAGGTGTAGATAAGACATTTACTACTAATTCTAAAAATATCCTAAAAATAGTTGTAAAATCTTTAAAGGAGTTTACAAAAACAAGTTGTTATATACAAAATACCAGTATAACAGTAATTTGGAAAGTCAAAGGTCAACATACTCTGTTTTCCTTTTCTCAATTTTAGAATTCTTCAGCTGGTTAATGATAGATTGATATTTCAGGAAGGCCCTTGCCCCTTATGTTAATTGTATAAATTGTCAGGTAGCAATAGATGTTTCAAGTGAAGAGTTCACATTTTAAGCACTTTATCAATTGGAGGACTTCTATTTCAAGGATAAATATCCCAGACATCAGGAATGTTACGTATTTTTACAATGACTGTTAACCATAGATCTAATAAGGATTTATTTGGTTCAATTGGAAGATTTTTCATATATTTGTCATCAATGGTGTAACACCAAGGGAAGATAATTTGAGTGAGGGATGATTGGTTTTTATAAATTTATTAGAAACATCGATTAATTGTACCAAAGAAGTGAGAAGAAACAAATAAGCGAGTAGATATATTAATTCAGTTCATATTCTGTAGCAAATTTATATAATTTTTACTCAATTATCATAAATTAAACTTTGACTTCTTTGAGATGTTGTTGTAATTTGTTAGTATGACGGCAGTGTCAGCCGGTGGCGACTGTTGTGTTGTGTATTGTAGGAAAGTCCGATGTATATAGGATGTACAATAATGATACCAGGATGCTACGAGTTCTTGAAGAATCTTACCTCTGTTCGAGCTGAGGACAGGTGATTTTTTTGGATTTTATTGTATATTTAATTTGATTTTATAGCGTGGTGAAGTTTCTTTGTTTTTATGTTGCATTTTATTCCAGTGAAGTTCATAGTTGTTTGTGGCTTCTGTTGTTTCTAATGGTTTTTGCCTGATAATATCTATGTAAGACAGTTCTTCTGGTCTATATTAAGTTAATATGGATATGTTAGTTAGGTTTGAATAATATTTGATTTGTATTTTTCTTTCCAGGCTGTGTCATATGTTATGCAGCCCTTGTAGTTTGCTGAGTTGCTTCCACCATGGTTAGTGCATTTTACATGCTCATCTTTGACATTCCATTCTCATTGTGGAGTGGTTCTAGAGCGATATTTCTGTGCGTAGCTATATCCATGGCCTTTTTCACACTGGGATATTATTTTTCATGCGTGAAGGCTCATTTGAAATTTTTGTGTTTCATAGTTTTATAATGAAATAAATATTCTTGTTACTCGAGTTTGGTAATAATTTCATAAAGGAAAACAATAATGGCGCTTTTGACATTCTGTCCAATGTTATAGGATACCATTGAAGTTGGATGACCTAACTCTTTTAAATCATCTGCTATTGCCTTGGGGTCAGTGGATAGGAGTAGGTGTCTGATTACAACCTTCTCTTTACTCTAGTCTTTTATTTATCATTCTAAAGTCTTTTGTAGTCTCCAAGTGAATTTTGACTGTGTCTTTATTTATTATTTTGTAGGAGTTTGTAACCTGCAGTTCTTCAACATTTTGGACATCTTTTGGATATTATGTACATTAGGTACTATCAATATCAGTTGGTGTTTTCTTGGCTTTGGCTGGTTGGACTTTACTTCTGTGCTCGCGTATATCACGACGCACTTCAAATTTGTTTCACGCGAGATTGTTGGATCTTTAATTACCTATCGAAGGTAAGGTTTCAATAGGAATTGTGTTTCTACACAAAGTCATTTTCAAAGAAGTCGTTTTATTCCGATGGTTAGGCAGTTTCTTTCTTCTTTTGTTTTGAGCTACTTTTCAACTCTGTTGGGAATTTCTCCTAGTGATTTTTCCTTGTATGTGTGATGAAAAGTTGGATATAGTTCTGTCTTAGAGATTTTTTGCTTGGTTTATTGTGGTTTTATTTGGATGGAAACTATCATTGTCTCTAGTCGTTGTGAACTGACTAAATTTTTCTAAAATCCGGTTCTATGTGCCATTGCTAAGATCTTGCATCAAGTGATTTATAATGTTGTCGCCATTATCAATTCTTTATTAGCGGTTTGAAATGTTTTATACCTGTGTAGCTGACGCACATACAAGCATTACTAGTGTTATTATTTATTTTGTTGTTATTTGTGAGCCTACCTGGTATGCTGTATAGTCATATGGGTGAATAAATGTGAATTTGTAACTGTATATGTCCAACATAAACTGAAATCACATGATGGTTCATTTTTACCAATGTGGTTCTAATTTGTTTTGTTCAAAGGGTGTATCAAGGGCTTTCCAACATTTCACATAGAATAATCTAGCAGCTTCATTGATCAGAGTATCCATGGCCTGATTTGATTGACTTGGTGTTGCTGTTCCTGGGAATACATTTTTGTTTTTCGCTCCTGTTATAGTACTTTCTCAAATTTACATTTTTTCAAGTATCAATTTTTCTGGTTTTTCCTGCAAACTTACATGTTAATTCTTGCTTATTATCTGGACTTCATAATCTGAGCTGGGTAAAATGGATAAATTAATAACTGGTCATGGAGAAATGCAAAAGTTTTTGTGATTAATAATAATGAAATTGATATTTCAGCATGCTTTTTTAAAGTGGCAGATTAATAGGCACTGTGAACTCGAGTATACAACTCTCACGTTTTAAGAAGACCCAGTCTCTCATATTAATGATTCTAAAAATATCCTAAAAATTAAGTAGTTGCAAACTATTTAAAGAAGTTTCCAAAAACAGTTTATTATATACTATATACATAAATAGTGTGTTTAGAGAGCATTGTGATTTATTATTGTTTTTTTTTCAATATTAAAATTAATAATGAGCTGGTACTTATCGCATAATATGAACTCGATACTTTGATAGGATTATAGCTATTTTAATGAATGAAGAAGCCTGATAGAGTTTGTGTAAAATGTCATATACCTTAAGCACTAGCATGCAAGTAAGGTCTCTTCTTGAGCTCAGCCACCTAAAGCTATTTTCTTAAATATGAAATATACATAAATATACCATAGCAGATTTTGCTTGTTTACACGTCTCCAGTTCTCACGTGGTTTAAATAGAAAAAATCATTAAAACAAAATATATGAGCAAATATTTCATCATTTTAAAGTAAAGTAATTAAATCTATTACAGGGCGCATAAGAATATACTTGTTAAAATTGATCAAGTTCTAAAGCGCATTAGATCTTTTATCCGTTTTTCGATTACATTATGGTCCAATTTTTTCAGTGAAAGCTATTTTGTCTTTTGTTTAATGCTTTATTTTCTTCATTCCATCTAGTAATTTTAGTATATAATTTTACCGAAGTAATAACTATAATTTAGGAGAAATTTTTTCTCTGTCTATAGTATAAACTTTATACTATAACGTCCTTTAAAAAACAACGCGCGATTTAAGTGAAGACGTAGCTTTAGACGGCCACCTCAAACAGAGGCCGACTATTGGATTGATGAAGTGCAACTTGAAGTAACCTTGACATGTGTCAGAATCTTTATTTAATTGATGTCAGCCACTTGGCACGACAACTCTGTCGTGAATTAGGCTGAATGTCTTCTGTGGTTTAAACAGAGATTTATTATGTAAAGTAGTTCAAAGAGTTATGGAGCAGAGTGATTACACAACTATAATTATAAACTATTTATATATTAAGAACATTGATAATCACGTACTTCGCACTTCGTTCGAAACAACAACACACGTAGAACAATGCACCTATGATTAAAAAAAAAAGAAAAAGCTATAGGCGAAAACTTTCTATCGCGACTAACCGAATCGCTGGAAACCACGAGATATTAGTGATTCATGAGCGGCTCAAATTTAAAAGAGATAAGTTTTTGCAGTGACAGTTATACGTCAATTTTTCTCGTTACATACATGCATGCATTTTAGCGCTTTTAAGAAGAGTTTTTACCACTTGAATATATTAGCTACTGAAAGCAAAAAGAAAATCAAATTTCGAATGGTTACGCAAGATTATACCAGAAGGACGCGCTAACATATTATGAAGACGCGTTCACACCCTCAGAGTGACTAACGGAGAATTAGTGAGAGAAAAGTTGAGGAAAATATTGCAAAAAAAGAAAGGTAACGCAGACGCTAGAAAATCTGACTTCTTTATGACTACTACTATTCTAGTATAGTAATGTTTGGTTGTGAGTTGATATTTTATGTAATGTTGTCTACGTACAAAGTATATTTGTTTTCTTTCGTAAACTGTTTAGGAAGTTTGTGTGCAAGAATGAGCCTCATAGTATTGTAGACTTTTCGTATAGTTCGAATTTCATTGAACTTAATCCAACAGCAATAATGACACTAATGGAAAACATATCGAAACGATAGTTTCTCGATGAATAAGAAACACAAAAAATAATAATTTTTAGAAAAAAAGAAACAAATATTCGCGTTAACGATGATACATGCTGCTGTACGACGAAAAATTAGAAAAATGCTTCGGTCCGCTACTTGTCCAGTCGAAAAATCTAAAAAAACAGAAATTTTTACGCGGATATTCTTGCTATTAGCTCACGAATATTAAGCCTCCGGAACGTGTATTTTTTAACATAATTTTGCTACCGAAACAGTTTTTCTGATTTCACATGTTAAACGGAAGAACGAACTGCTATATTGTTACAGTGGGTTTACTTCGACACGCGATGAATTCGAACGATCGATAATTCTGTGATAATAAATTTAAATGATTATTTTTATGTTTGCACGGTAGTTTGTGAAATATGTTCATTGTCTCGTATAGGCTAAGCCTAATTAAATTGACGTGATGAAGAAGTCGCATGAATTTATTAATTTCTTTAGAGTGTATGTTTATTTCTATTCGAAAATCTTTATAGACATATTATCACAGAATGTCTCTTTGTCGGAACACTACTGGGTGACGAAAAAAGTTTTTGATGATTCTTTGGTAATCTAAATGAATCTGAAAAATATCCGTGTCAGATTTTCCCATTTTATGAATCAAAGAACTGTAGATTACATTGTAAAATACAAATCAACGAAAATTTTCTGAAATTAGATTTATACGAATTTTTATGCGCTGCGTATTATAAAGTTATTCAAAACAGACAGGAAAATCAAAATAAGCTTTTGAATCTAAAAATGAAATAAATTTGGTTGTTTATTGAAATTTATTTAGACTGAAAAATTGGATCTAAGTGCGACTGTGAGAGAATAAATGAAAACGACTTACCGTTAAAAAATCATTTATTTAATGATAGAATGGAAGAATCAAAGATATAGTTAAACGCTAATTCATCACCCAATAGTCATATCGTTGGACAGTCACAAAGTTCTATAACTTGCAATATTTGCGCCAAAATTATGTGAAAAATGGAAGATTGATTCATTATTTTTAATTTCCTAAAACTGGTAAAAGTAGCGTTGCAAAAGGTGTGTAAGGGTGTTCTAAAGCAATATGTATAAATAATTAAAACTATGCGATTTGTTTAGAAGGTACAACAAAAATGGAATGAAAGTGGAATAAAATTTGCTTGTGTATAACATTTGTTTTCAAATACATTTTCCGATAGATTCAAAATTTTTTATTTTTATTTCTAATGTTAATGTTTAATTAAGTCTTGTCTAATTTGAGCAATAGAAATTTCATATTATTTTTGGATATCCTATACACCACTACAGATGAGGTGCAAATAAATCGATGATAGGGAATACGCATACATAGGTACATACGTCTTCATTACATAAAATAGGTAGCGGATCTTTATACGAATTATCATTTTTGTAGACTAATTCACAAAAATATAGAAATTATACAGAAACTTATTCCCGTTCTTAAAAGTTCCATTAGATTTTATCGAAACTCGCGTTTCGCAACCGCTTTGAACATTCGTACAGTTATTGCCATATATAAAGTCCGCAGTCTAGTTGTAATCGTCCATAAAACGTAAGAATTTTGAAATTACCTGTACAAAATTGACATTTACACATTAACTACTTAGAGGTAATTTATAGACATGTATCCGCCGCGAAGTACCGATATAAATTGGGCGCTGCTTGCACCGATCTGTAATTCTCTATCACCTCACGTGCATATTTGATCCTCTCTTCTCGTATGCACGATCAATTAGAGCGAAAGTGATTGAGCATGAAGTCCTGATTAAAACTTCGGCGTGGTTGCCGAAGGTAATTGAACTCTGTTGACCTTAATACAGAGAAGGAACGATCAAACTGGCCGAGAACGTGCGACAATGACAGAGACTTTCTTAGTAGGCAAATTATAGTAAATGTAAGGGACTCCGATCATCGGGTCTACGAAACGTTATTAGACAAATCTTTGCCGAGTTTTCTTTTTCCTTTCGTTTTAATGCTTGAAAAAAAAGAATACCTTGTTGTTAATGTTTAAGCAAGTTACTGACAACTTGTCGTGTGTCAACCTATAACTGGCTTAAGTAACGTGCCCTGCGTACTGTGATTGGAGTGTTCTCTCGTGGGAGCAAGGTGTGAGATCGCGTTAACTTGTTGACGAAAGATATTCGAGAATCGGTTCTTCCTTGAACATGTAAAGAACGATTAACAAATAAAGCGTATTGTACATGTATGTCGATCGTTGAAGTTTTTTTTCCTGCTGCCTTTCTAGTTTCTTCCACAGTTCTGCGATTCGTACGACTCCCGCCGTCTCGATTTCCGGTCGATTAAACTGAACGTTCCTTAAATTCGTACCTCTTTTTTCCTCGAAACTCGTAATCGTTAGTAAAACCGATATAAAGATCACTGGTATTCACTGTTAAATATCATGACTGTTTAGTTACAACACGTGCTACTGAAAGCTTGGAGCCGATTCGTTTTTTCAACTGATTTGAAGATAAATTCTTCGTTTCTTGACTCGAAAGCAAAGAGTCTTCTACATGCAACATTCCTTCGATACCATCATTGGTTTTCTGTATCGTGACTATAAACAATTGTTTCAAGTTACGCGTAAAAGTAACAAATTAGATGTATTCTGTATAATATGTTTATTAGTTTACCAGAAGTTTTCTCAACGGTGATTGTTCTGTTCTTTGAAAAACTTCCTTGTATCTCGATCGATTTAGTTATGGAATTTTCCTTTGTTTTATTAGTATCCTTTCGCTGACGAATTTTTTTCGTTTTCCTCTCGTCCGGGGTATCAGCGAAATTTGCAAACGCTGTGCTTATACACTTTCCACAGCGCCACACGATTCTGGGATCGTACACATCGATGTCAACGACAGGAGGTTGATGACACAAGGGATGATAGATCTCTTGACAGTCCTGACACTCCAATAAAATCAGTGGTCCCAATTTTGCTCCATTACAAATCTTTCATGCAAAATATTAAATCGATATTACACTCAACAGCCGAATAGAAAGGATTTGCTGGTTGGGAAATTGAATTGAAATTATCAGTTTTGATGCTGTAAGTTTGACTAGAATAAGAATATTTTTGTATTAGAAAATATATACGAAGTAAGTCATGTAAATTGAATTATCTAAACATTTCCAATCTTCTTTTATATTGTATATGAAGGGTTGTTTAGCATACAATGAACTCTTCAAAGAAACAAGAAAAAAATAATAGAAAAACATTCAAGATTACTTTTAGACATATCAAAACTATCGATATACATACAAAATACGTATAATAACAGTAGTAACAATTTTTTTCATTTGAAATCTCGTCGTTGAAGAAATCAAATTTGAATATCGCTGTCAGCAGAGTGTCAAATGCAGATGGAGTTGACAAACTTTTAAACTGTATTTTCTTAAAAACCAACGAGTTTTAAAACGATTAAGTTTTATCCTTTATTTTTTATTTTTTTCATGTTAGAATGTCCCTATTCGTAATTGTGCCTCAAATTACAAGATACTTTGAATAATCTTATATACTGAAAAACTATATACTAAGTCTATACTAACTATATTCTATATACTAAAACTAATAATGAGACCGTTAAGAATGATAAAAAAATACAAATTCATATTTAATTGTTTGTTTCATCAACTGAAATAATTGAATAAAAATTGTTATGAGAACCTTGCATAAAAGTCCATCCCCGTATCCTTCATCCGGAATTGATATTCTGGGAATCTCTCCTTTTTCACTATAATCTTCAACTTCTGCGTTAAATGACTTCAATGGTACCCAATTATTCTCTGTCACATTATCGAACGTTTTCAAAGATTTCCAATTTACTTCCACTGTAAAGTCAGTTTTCGTCGGATTCCAATCACATTCTATTATATCATTCACTGAAAATTTTACGCTTGTCATTTTCTTCGAAGCATTATCATTTTTTCGCAATTTCTTATCTTGTTTTCCCGATTTTCCAATAGGATAGCTTTTTTCACGAGTCTTCGTATTGTGATAACATTTCTGGGGCATCCTTGCTCTTAAAGTTTTCTCGTAACCATACTTCCTTTCGATGGTTACGTCCAGCATTTTCCGAAGCTTATCTGTGCTCTCATCGTCCGTTGAATGCAGCAACACCAAAGCGTTGAAGAAATCTCCGTTAATGTCAAATGCATCTTCCATGTCCTCGTACATTTTATAGAATTTTTTTTATATTTATGTTTGAATAAATTTCTTTTTGTAATAATAATTTCTGGGTAGCTTTAATGCTATGAAATGGTGATAATACGTTTATCAATGGTAGGTCTCCTATACATATGAAAGAAGACAAAATATAGAAATTCTTTGCTTATATTTAAACTGCTAGCTTTGTAGTTATAAATTGTATCAGTTTTATTATCTCAGTTGTATCAGTTTTCAGACCTAAATCGGCCTTCCAAAGATTTTAGAAATATCATATTCATTTTAATATAATATTTTGTAAATATTATTTAGAATTGATTTTTAATAATTACAATCAGGTTATACCATTTTAATAATGATTTAGTAACTGCTTTTAATATTTTTATACATGGAAATTACCATTAATCAGAAAGCAGGCAGAATTTTTCGGTAAACCTAATTCATCAAGAAAATGAAGGAAACAAAATGGTACTTACAAGAAAATGTTTTGCTTTTGTAGTGTATTGATTATTTTTAATTTCCTTTTCGTATGCTTTATGATGTACCGGTGAAAATTCTATTCGAAGATATTTTTGAAGACCGAAGTGACATTAACGTCTACACAAATGGCGAACGCTCGACACATTCAATTGTATGAATGCTAACATCGAAGCTCTGCGGGGATATTCATTGTGAAATGTGCCGAAGAAAAGTAGTTGGTATTTATCAGCTTGAGCTTGATTTGCTCAAGCAAGTCTATATAGACGGGTTCGAATCGATACATTATTATTCTTCGTTCTGGTAATGGAGGCTATTAACCGCGGTGCTGCAATTGCAATCTGCGCACGATGGATGAATTACGAGATGAGTGTGAATTTTATTGCATTTATAGCGGATACGAATGTGACAAGGAATGTTCGTTAAAAATATCTTCTACAAATTTGATCTTTCAAAATAGTTTATCTCTCTTCGGATTTATGCAACGTCAAAGAATCATTCTTTATCGACTTCTTCCTTAAATGATTTGATAAAATAATTACTTATTGTCGTAAAGATTTTTCTGTCGATTCCCGAAGATGAAATAAATTCAATATGTTAGTTAAAGGAATATACAATAATAGATCATGTATTTAATAATAATAATAATAATAATAATAATAATAATAATGATGATGATGATGATGATAATAATAATAATGATGATAATGATGATAATAATAATAATAATAATAATAATAATACTGAGTTTCATAATTAAATTTTGTACTTTCTGTATTCACAATATACACAATTAAGTAACTTAGAAGATAATCGGAACTTCAACAAAATCTTAAATTTAATAAACAAATGAAAAAATTTCCAATTGAATCTTCTAAAATACAAAACACCTTGAAGTATAGTACGATTCACATGAACGAAATTAGAGCAATTTACTCTTTTTTAAACTATCTTTCAATCTCTAGAGGCCCTGCAGTTTTTCATGAAAACAGTGGTTCATTTTTTCCAAATATTTAAGCACACATAAAACATACGTATTCTATTGAATTTGAAAATATATACAGAGTCTCAAAAGGGATTTGGTCGATCCTCGAAACATCAGGCACCAGCAAATACTAAAACTACGATCATTATCATACAATTTATTTTTTCTGTTTCTCCAAAAACAACAAAATAAATCGAATCAAACTTCATTTGAACAGACATAAAAACATTTTTATTATACCTAAAACATGAAATGCGGTTTAAACAATGTTAAGTATTCGCAACGTTTGCTAAGGATCAGTGTCCTAGTTACCATAATATTCGATACACAATCTTTCTCAGTAATATCAACAGCACGAATCAAAAGTAAGTACAAGTCAAAACCTTGGTGTCTCATCTTTCCACCCTACCGCCTACGTGCATCTCGACCCGACCCCATTCACCGGGAACTTGGCCAGCACCTCGCGCGAAACGCAAAGCAAACTCCAGCCGGTCGTCGAGGAAAGAGACTCAATTCGATAATTATGGACTGCGGCGGGTTCTCACCCTGCAAGCAGAGTACCAGAATCGAGTGGAATCCAGCTGAGAAGCCGGAGCCGGTAGACGTCGAACGAGTGGGATTATTCGCCAACGGATCGGAGCAGAAGCCCGGGACCGGGGTCGGGTCGGAGCCGGGGAACAATGTCGGAAACGACGAGGACGGTATGCCGAGATATGCAGGATATCGCGCAGAACTGCGATCCTTCGAGGTCGAGGGCAGAGGCACGGATATAGAACCGGGCGCGCGCGCGAGTAAACCTGGATACATATCCCCCTAGCACCACCACCAGCAACCCCGGCAGCAACGCCGGCACCGAGAGAATACGTCTAAGTGTATTACCTCCGAGAGCTCACCGTTCCACCTAAATATGTAATAATATCTACTGGAGATACCGGCATTCCTCGACCTCGAGAAGAATTCGATCAAAATGTGTCGCGATACTCCCCTGGTATGCCAGGTGAGCTACGCGTCTCTCCGCGCTACCCCCATCCTTTCCAGCGCCATCTCCTTTCTCCTTTCACCCCCTCCCGTCCGGTTTACACGCTTCCTACGTCTTCTTCGTCGTTCGTTGCCTCTGCTCTCCTTTTCTTCCGGCTCGATCGGATGCTACCTGGTGTTGATATTCTCGCTATCCTTCCGCCTTCATCATTTTAGGAGTTCGTTGATGTTTTTCTTTCTTTGAGGTTTAACATTTTGTGGAGTTGCGTTGGAGGTATTTAACAGTGGACGATTCGTGAGAGATTGATCGTCTGATTCTGTGAAATCGGGACTTATTAAATCATTTGATATTGCTGCTTTGTAGAACGGTGAATGTTAGTTTTTGATATTTTTAATACTGTGCCAAAGTTTTAGGTTATATATGTTATAGTAAACTGTATACTGTTCGTAGTGAAGGGAATATGCAAATTTAGGTGCAGCACTTTATCTTTTCACCATTATTGTGCAATAACTATTAGACATTATGTGAACAAATGAATAAAGAAATAAAAATAATATAATATATGCAAATAAGGATATTAAAGTTTAAATATTTCATGCGGCCTCCACTTACCTCGAATCTTCTTGTACAGTTTTCGTAGAATTTCTAAATAATTTCGTTTGGACTTCTTGTTTCAACGAAATGGTTGCTTCGTTGTCCTTTACATATTTGCGTGTGTTGTAAAACATGTAAAAGCATTGCAGTTTGTTAAGTACCTAAACCGAACATCGCACATCATCTTTTATCACCTCGAGATATCGTAAAGAAGAAAAATCATTTTGAAATTTGCATCTACTTTAAAGATATTCCAAGCATTTTCCAAATAAGCTGCACCCGCGATATTTTAATACCTTTTATCTTGTCGTTCGCGCAAATAAATCTCTGACGTGATAAGCTCCGTCAGGAATCCCACCCTCGCGGAACATCCGCCGGTTATAAGAAATGTTTTTGAAGTTTATGAGGTGATGCGAAGGTTCACCGTAGGGTGGATCGAACGCCTTTACCCCTTTTTTGAAATAACAGAATGAACGGGGAAGAAGCGGAAGTATCGTAAAAGACGCAATAAAAATATTTCCCGGCAAAAATTGCCATTAAAAACACGTAGAAAAAATTACTACGGTAACAATGGCGGGCCACCGTTCAAAGAATCGTAAAAATATCACTATGAATAAATGCTTCATAATAATAATATTTGCATCGAAATAGTGGTAGAGTATTAAAATTTATTTAAATTTTATTTTTCCTTAATTTATATCATAATTAATACTGGTGCTAATGTGGTCTTGCCTGCTCGAAATATCAGATGTCTATTGTGAAAGATCAAATACTCTTGAACTGCATTGATGAACGTGTAGCATTTCCCCATTTTTAAATTCCTTTCTAGTTGTGTCATAATTTTTAATTTTATATTTAAAAATTGTAATTTATTTTCTGAGAATCAAGTATAAGTTACCTATTATTTCATTGTTTACTTCTTTTTTATTTTTTCCTTTTATCTAGGTATGTTTCGATCTTACATATTATTATCTTATATACAATTGAATTTTAATTTACTATATTAAGTTCATTTAATCAAGTTTTCAATACATATTTATTGTTTGATAAAACGTTTCTTATATTTTTCATTGTTCGCACTCTTAAATTGGATTATTATAGAAAAGAATAATATTATTGTGAATTTACCGTGTAAACACGATATCCGAATACAATTTAGCCATTGTCGCGACGTCACAAATTTAAGCGGAAACTGGAATTGGTCGGCTCCTCTGTCCTCTAGTGCAGTTTCAAACAATGCTGGAACAATAGATGTAACTTCTGCGTAGCGATAATTTCAAGTTTGCTCTAATTTGTGCTGAATAAGTTTATGCATCGTGCTATTATAGTTAAATTAAACTATTAAAATATCCCGGTAAAATAGTTTTATTACACTCACAGTAAATTTACTTGTTCGTAAACTGATTTTAACAGACCCCTGAATATGTCTTATGAAAATGTCTAAATATAAAATTATATTAATAATTAAAAGGAAATAAGATAAATTGCACGAAGGCTGCAATTAATTTTTCTGAAAATTAATTTATAGGAGTTAAAGTTAAAAATTGAATGTAAAATTAAATATTGAATGGCACAATAACTGTAGTACCAATATTTTAGGTACTACTGTATACTTTAATGAATGAAAATTAAATACGAAACTTACCATTATCGACTCGACTAGACGATGCAACAACGACTCGACGATACTGCAATTTTCTTGCAACGGTCAGGTGCAATCAATCGGCAATGTCGATGAACTTGTGCGCCGATAACAGGTGAAGTTATTAGATACGACTGAATACAAAATGCATGATTGCATAACACGGTGAAATAGAGACCATCAGTGCAATCACATGTACAACGTTTCATTTAACACTGGAACTGTAATACCCTTGTTCTTTAATTATGTTCTCATGCTTTAATCAAAAAGAGTTTAATGCTAACAAATATTTTTCATCTTTGCTTAGTTGCACAGAGTGTATCTGAATCTGAGAC